GCTTTAAAGATCTCGCTGTCCCGGCTGGCCTGGGGTTAAGACTCTAACCCCACCCGAATTGTGTGACTGTTGTGCTTCTTTTAATATGTTGTATTGTCCTCATGTTTGGAAAATTGTTTGTCCTTCCCCCCTCCCCTTTTTGAACTGTGAGCCGCCCTGAGTCCCCCCAGGGAAAAGAGCGGCATACAAATAAAGGGAAACTAAACTAAACTAAAACTAAACTAGAAACGGTTCCAAATCAGCTTCTTTCCCCCGCTCTGTAGTAGCTTGACATCCTATTTCAAAAGTTCCAGAGTTCATATGTTGTATCTACTCTTTGTTTTTGCTCACTGTACCTTCCTCCTTTTCGGCCACTGCAGTGGATCCCAAAGGACAGGGGGAGCAGAACTACTGGACAATGTAACTGAGACCTCCGGAAGTCATCTAGAAAAGCACTTAGGAATGTCAGTTTCAGTCTAGAAAAAAACAAACACCCACCCTAGAAGCCTATTGGAAGGGCCTGAAAGTGACTGTAAACAAACTGCCTTCGGAAAGAATGGGAAGCTTTGAGATGTTTATCTGAACTGGAGGCCGGGCAGGGAGGTCGCAGACTCCTCTACCGAGCCAACGAAAGCACTAGAGACGCATGATTTCATTTTATTGTCATAACCTCTTGAACTCCTCGATGCTGTAGTGGAGTTTGCATTTCCGGGCTGCCTTTTGCCTGAGCTCTGCTCAGCTCACAACTAGCAAAACCGGGAACCGTTTGTGGGATTGAAACATCTGCATTCATGAACCAAAGCTGAACCATTGCCACACAAGCAGCTAAATGGCTGCTTGGGGTAAGACTATTTTAAGGGCCATCCGTCAAGTGAGTAATGAGCAAGACAAGAACCAGAGTGGGGTGGGGGAAGTTACACTTGGTTTTCCCAAGCTCAAAGTTCTTGGGAGGAGGGGGGGAAAGATTGTACATGCATCACAAATATGGAGAGTGCTCTTAGCCCAGACAGGACTAAATTAAAGAATGTACACTAGTCTTTCAAACTTACGACCACAATTGGTTGCAGGATTTCCACTGCTAAGCAAGGTGGTTGATAAGTGAGTTGTGCCCAATTTTGCAATTTCTTTTTGCCATCACTGCAGTTGTTAAGTGAATCATACGTTGAGAGACCGCCTGCTGCCAATTACCTCCCAAAGACCCGTCAGATCACACAGGGTCGGCCTCC